TACCAGGACTATGCGCCCTACAGAAGTCACACTATAGTTTTTGGAGCATTTCTAAATGTATAATGTCTACAGTGCCTTCTCCTAGCTCTTCCTAAAGTCAAGAAGTAACTTACAATATTGGTATTTTAGATGAAATCAATTTAGTTCTTGCCATTATATCAAGAGTCTAACATGTTGGACTCAGCGTTAATCCGAATAAGCTGTGTTTAAGACTACTTGTACTACAGTAAACCTCTGTTAAAAAGAAATTTTGAAATTCCAGTAATCGTTAGAACAATTTCTAGTATTGGTCTATTCGATTTGAAAACTTCTACAACTAGATACACCTCCCTAATCATTTACAGCTTGCACATGAAAAGTCCTTTACCATAACATAGTATGTCAAAGAACAGTAATTTGAGAAAGTTCTAAGCTTGGAGAAGATTCCGATAAACATAACGAATTCCAGCGTTCACTTCTACAAAAACAAAGAAAGGAAAATACAAAGTCTTCCCTAAGCGATCAATACTTTATTTCATATCATGAGTTTATAATAATACTACGTGTAAGTATAAGTAAGCATAATAGTATTTTCCTATTCTTTCCGAATTGATGATATTTATAAACAAAGGTAATCCAATATTAGAGTAAAGGAGTATGAACTTTGATTATCCTGGGAAGCCTCCAAAGTTTCCGGCGCCACCAAAACCTCCTTGACCGAAACCACCGCCTTGTCTGAAGCCGCCATTTTGCAGAAATCCTCCTTGGTTAAAGCCAACATTTCCAAATCCGCCATTTCCGAAGGCTCCTCCTCTTCGATCGAAACTGCCAGGACCGCTAAAACTGTCACCACCAAATCCGCCTACGCGTCTTCCAAATCCTCCGCGTTCTCTACTACCTAGAATTTTTTCAACATTACCTTGTACCTTAGCTTTCCACGATTGGAAAGGGAATTGTATTCATTTAGAACACAATTAAGATGATTGATTAACTCACCACGGCGATGAAAGTGCCTGAAAAATTGAAAATTAGCAAGATTTTGAATTTCTAGGAGTTTAGAGAATAAGAAAGGCCAGAACAAAAATTGCACAATACTGCTTGCAAATGCTACCCC